AGTGGGAGGGAAAGTTGGAGACTGGTGAGAAGGGAGGTTGGACGATGGTGTAGGAGCGGTGTTGTTGTGGTGAGAAGAATCGCCCGTGATGGGTTCCGGCTGCGGTGGTTCTGGATCGCCACGTGCGATTTCAGTACCAGGAGGTGGATTGATCTCTTCTTCCCCACCATAATCGGCGTCATCATGACGTAGCCCGGTATCTCGAGAGCGAGAGCTGTGGCGAAGATCACGTCGTGAACGATGATGAGTAGACTCCAAGGAAGAGCTCGCCATGTGGTCAGAGCGCCCGGAAGTACGAAGCAAAGAAAACCAAGGAACCAAAGTCCAAGCTTGAGTAAAATGAAATTAAACGAGTTGGTGAAAAAGATGGTGTGCACACAAGCTGGAGCCATAGGCAGTAGAGTATGTGATCGCATCAATGAAGGAGCCAAAGTAATCAAGAGTCAAGTAAAACAGAATTGAGATGCGAGTAAACTCTTTTTGATGTGGCGTGTGCAGCAGTAAAGTGAGACCAGAAGTCTAAGATCTAGGCATCCGGGAGCGGGAGCGAGATCGTGAGCGAATATGAAGACGAGGTCGTGGTACATGGCGAGAAGGTGAAATCCGGGTGTCCGTAGTACGTGTCCTGGTAGGGCGAGAGGAAGTCGTAGCCGATCGAGGTGGAGCAGGATCGATGAAGTCTGTGAAATCGGTGCGACCTTCTAGTTCAGCTTCAAGTTGTTGCGGACTCTGTCGAATGATATGGATGAGACCGAGGGCAGTAAGGAGCTCGTGGGTGTAATGGACGGCGGTGTGGTTGAGACGTAGAGCAAGAAGAAGGGTATTGTCCAAGCCTTCAAGGTGAGCTCGAAGTTGTGGGTTGGTCACCCGAGACATAAACGGGCATGGATCTGGGCCAAAAGAACATGTACGAGTAAAAGTTCTCGATAGAGCATTCCTTGAGCTCGAGGTGGAAGACCATGAATCGGTGCAAGGCCACAGAGCGGTGTAGATGTCGAGGCCATGGCGAGTCGAAGTGAAAGAGGGAATGGAGGGGCGAGATGGGCGATCGCTGGAAAGCCGGATACAGCGCCAGGTGAAAGAAGAGAGCGAAGAAAATGGACATCAATCCTTGTAGAAGAAACAGGTGGTTGTAAACAATCAGACATCAAAAGAGCTCAAAAAAGTGGATAGTTTTGGCGCATACGGAAGTGGTCCGGTAGGTGAGAAGGCAGCTAAAATCTGAACCGTCGTGGAGGTGAACGTGAGCGAGAGGGAGAAGATGATGATCTCGGCAGCCTCAACAAGGTCGTAGGTGAAGCTGAAAAGACGAGGGTGGGAGGAGAAATCGTAGGGTTGGCGGAGATAGGAGCTGTAGTCGTAGTCCCCGTCGTCGTTCCAGGTGGAGGAGATTGAAGGACAAAGAGAGTAGGCCTGGAAGGAGGAGGAGTAGTAGGAGTAGATCGTCCAGTAGAGCGTGGAATGGCCAAAGCGGAGCATAGGTCGTCGGCATAGATCAAAGTAGTACATGTAGTTCGTATCTGTTCAAGGCAATTCTCAAGGGCACGGAGATTGGCACTGATACGAGGGCATGTGATCGTGTCCACAACGGATGGAGTGACAGAGTCAAAAGGTCCACGTAGGATCATTAGAATCAAATGTAGGGAAGAGTGTAGATGAAGTAGTTCACGATGAAGCACTTCCTGAGCCGCAGCAGGTAGGCCGGAATGTGAAGTCACGTCCGTAGGTCGAGTAGATGTCGTCGAAGGTGGCAGCGACATGGCAATGAAGCGATGGAGGTGAGCTCAAGTAGAGGGGCATAGAACTTGGGGACGCTGTGAGCCAGGTGGAACCCAAAGAGTAAAGTCCAAGGAATCAAGCATGGAAAAGGTGAAGCTAACAATTGGGTAAAAAGTGTAGTAAGAGATGTTTTCGGAACCGAGGAAGCAGAATAAGCGAAAGACAACCTAGAGATTCCTAGGAGTCGAACGGGAGTGAGACCGGGACCGTGGTAAAGCTGTACTGGAGCGATTGAGTACTGGACGACGTGGACGTAAAGTGGATGGGGTTCTCGGCGGAGGAATCGTAGAAGCGCCCGGAAAGAAACTGGTAGATGGTGTACTCCGTGTCGTAGCCGGGGCCCGAGGAGAGGTAGAAACCATAGGGAAAGAAGGAAGACGAGGGTCAGGAAAGGTCGAACATCCGCGTAATTCAGCATCAACCTGAGTGTTGTCGCAGTTCACGGTGTGCATCATCCCAAAAGTAGTGAGAAGTTCGTTGACATAGTGCACTCCGTTGTGGATGGCCTGAGTCGCTTGCTGAATAGCAGAATCCAGACCTCGAATTTGTAGCTGAATATGCGGTGAGGTGATGTAGTCCATGAAGGAGGGGTTGAGAATGGCGAAGCGGGTGCGAAGAAGGGAGACAGCGAGAATCAACAAACCATGTAGATGAAGAATTTCTCGATGTAAGATAGTCTGGGCTCGCATCGCGACGCCGTCCACGGGGTTGAGGCCAGCTGGAGAAGGGAACATGGCGAGAGGAGGAGGATCAACTGGGACACTAAGGCTCCAACAGGTTCCAAAGAACCTTGAACAAGCTTTGGTCGCTGCGACCACGTACGGCTTGCCCGAAGGCTGCCACCTTTGACCGCTACGGTCACGTAAAGGCATGAGCCAGCTTGGAATTCCAAAGATGAGACATAAAATCCAGGCAGTGGATACGTTCGACGTACACCCGTTCAACGGGTCCACGGGAGGCACTCTGCGGGCTCATCCCGGGTTGGCACGAAGCCAAACACACTCATGGATATGCGTACTGACTTGATAGCGGTGCCACACGCCAGCCTAAGAAACCCAAATCCTGAAAAATCAGGTGAGGAGACTTAGAAAGTAGAGGTCCTAGAAAGGAAGTAGAGGTCCATCAGCTCCAAAAGAAAACGCCGATCGAACGAACGACAAGGTGACGACGTGCGTGCAGAGAAGCCAAAAGCATCGCCGCTGCAGTAGCCCTTTACTGAAGGAAACAACGAAGTAGACAGCTTGTGCTCTACGTAGGTTCATTTCAAAGCAGGTACGTAGCTCCAGCGTCCCGGAGCTATATCACAGACCAATGCAAGCGTCTTTGTTAGTGCCAGACTTGCATGGTCCCTGGCACCCCCTGCTAAAAGCTCAAAACAATCCGAAGGATCCCTATGATTCCAAGGGTTACACACACACACACACCCCGAGGGGAGGCGTATTGAAGGCGCGGACAAAGTAGTAGTAAGGCCAGGAACCTCTAGTAGCGTCAAAGTAGCGTCCTAGCACCTAGTAGGAAGGCCAGGAGCCCCTAGTAGCATCCCAAGCTAAGGTCGTGACAGGAGGGAGGGGTAGGGAGAGACGAGAAAAAGGAAAGAGAAGAAAGGAAGGTGTTCCCAGCTACGACGCATGCGTCCAAGGACACACCAACGGAAGAGAGGCAAAAGCATCCAGGGACACCCAAGGAGGAAGGAAGGTGAAGAGAGGAAAGAGAGAAAGAAAGAAAGAAAGAAAGAAAGAAAGAAAGAAAGAAAGAAAGAAAGAA